AGCCCCTCCAACCCCCATTGCGTTTGCTCCTGGCTTCCCTGTGAGCACGCAGCCGGGTCACCGGGATCGGGATCGGGTCACCGGGATCGGGATCGGGTCGCCAGCATCAGGATGGGCCACTGGGATCGGGATCAGGTCCCAGCACTGGTGTCGGGTCGCTGGGACCACAGTCAGGTCACCAGCACCGGCACTAGGTCATTGGCGTCGGGATCGGGTCGCTGGGACCGGGATTGAGTTGCTGGGATTGGGATCGGGTTGCCGGCATCGGGATCAGGTCGCCGGCGTTGGGACCAGGTCGCTGGGACTAGGTTTGGGTCGCTGGTATTGGGATTGTGTCACCAGGATCGGGATCAGGTCACCAGCGTTGGGATCCAGTCGCTGGGACCAGGATCAGGTCATCAGCACTGGGATTGGGTCACCGGCATCAGGATCAGGTCGCTGGCACCTGGATCGGATCACCGGGACCAGGGTTGGGTCAGCGGGATCAGGATCAGCTCGTCAGCATTGAGATCGGGTCACCGGAACCCGGATCAGGTCACCGGAACCGGGATCAGGTCACTGGGACCAGGATTGGGTCACTGGCACTGGGATCAGGTTGCCAGCGTCGGGATCGGTCGCCAGCACTGGGATTGGGTCTCTGGCGCCGGGATTGGGTCGCCAGGATCAGGATCAGGTCGCCAGCACCGGGATCGAGTTGCTGGGACCAGGATTGGGTCACTGGCACTGGGATTGGGTTGCTGGGATTGGGACTGGGTGGCCGGCACTGGGATCGGGTCACCAGCATCAGGATCGGTTGTCAGCTTTGGGATTGGGTCGCCAGGACCAGGATCAGGTCGCCAGCACCGGGATCGAGTTGCCGGGATCAGGATTGGGTTGCTGGGACCAGGACTGGGTCACTGGCACTGGGATCGGGTTGCCAGCATTGGGATTGGGTCGCCAGGATCAGGATCGGGTCGCCGGCACCGGGATCGGGTCGCTGGGATCGGGTTGCCGGCATCAGGATTGGGTCGCTGGGTCCATGATCGGGTCTCTGGGATCGGGGTTGGGATCGGGTTGCCGGCACTGGGACGGCTCCAGGCATGGAGCTGGGGGTCTCCGACGGAGAGACGTGGGCCCAGCCGGCGGGGGCGGGCTGCGGGAGGCCGGGGGGGCGCGACGC